AGCAGATTGGGGTCTAACTTATGCATACATCTCTTGCAATTCTAAAGCTGCTTTGAAACTAGACTGGGCAGACCCCTGTGGAAGTTATAGCAGCCCCAGGGAGCTATGCAAGCGGTGCCAAAATTGTGTCTCGCTGTGGTCCACCCTAGACTCAAACTAGAAAAGAAGGGGGTGGCTTTCCAGTCTTCAGGAATCCTCCAATGGGCCAAAGTGAAATTCCCTTTAGCAACACAAAAGAAATTTAGCTTGTGCTAAAGAACTGCCCTCTGTAGAGGCTCTGTACTGTAAACTACAGAAATCTTCCTTCCTATCATATTTTACTTTTTTTCCCCCCAGAGTTCTGTGTGACAATTTTTAAAAAGAACTTAGCAGGTATCTTTATACAATTAATATTTTAAAAGTTTGTTATTTTTTGTGTTGTATGGTTTACACTTTTACCATCATCATACATTATTTTCTTGATAGTGAGTCGAGGTGGTTTTCTTCCTGTTGTGCTTTGGAAAACACATATTACCAATTACACCATTACAAAGATCAGCCATGCAGATAAAACTGCCTTTCCAGAGAAATAAGAAATTGTAAACTGAGGACCATACCTAGTGCTGAATGGTCTATGAGGCGATGAGCCCAAACCTGACAATCGTCAGACATCCATATTCAGAACCACCGGTGTCACTTATTCATTTCTCTCCGTGGAACCAACTCAAGTATTTCAGTAACCATCTGACCAAACATGGGCAAAATCCCTGTGGACAGCAGAGACAATTGGTCTTGCCTTCTGGATGGGGTCTGCAAGTAGAGAATACTGCTTCTGACCTAGAACGTCACATTGCAATGCTTTTTGACAGTAAGCAAAGTCTTGCTGCCTATCCACACACAACTGGATTTCTTCCAAAGCTGAATTAAAACCTGTCTTTAAAAAGTATATCTAATCTCATGTTTAAAACCCAAACAAAGGTGTACCCGCTATCTCTCCTGATATAAACTCTTTAAATATTTAATTGCCCTCACAGTCAGGAAATGTCAACATTAGGTTTGCCTAGCCAGAGTTTCCAGCAAATGGGTACCATTGCCTTTGTCAGCAAGCTTGAAAAGGTCATACAATCAAGATCTCTTTTCTATATTTAAGTTCCTATTCAAAGTAATCCAGTCTCTTGTCAGGTTTTTTCTTTCAGAAGCCGAATAAGCTGAAATGTTGGAAGCTTCATATTGTAAATTGGCTTGTTTTCTGCTCCTTGGGTCATTTTTCAGTACTCTTTGAACTATCACTAATATTTCCATTTTCCTGCTAGTGTAAATATTGGAAGTGGATGCAGGGTTTTTTTTGTAGCGTTTCTTCACCAATGTGCTCACAGAGATCTGCTTTCCAGAAGACAAGTTTTTGTGCACGCTAGATTGCATTAGTTCTTTTTGCCACAGCACTGCCTGTGCTTTGCTGAACAAATGAACACACCGATCTTTCTATCCTCTCTAAACATTATCACCAAAGACTTTATACAGCTGCCTAGACTGCTAACACAAAATGCCTTCAGCTTAGGAATCAGCACCCTGAAGGATGCCGCTAGCAATGCATCAACTCATTAGTATCTTGCCACCGACAATTACATTTTGAAATGTCAGTGAGCCAGTTTTTAGTCCAGTTATTTCTATGTAAATTAGGTGTTTTGAATCAAAATGTCTTGTGGCACTAAATCAATAGCTTGGAGAAATCCAGGTTTAAAATGGAATTGCAATTTGTTTTATCAGCTGAACATTTAATTATTTAAAAAAATGAAGATGTTTGTTCCTACTCATCAGGGCCCCGAGTGCACTAACAGGCCTTAATTGCCCCGACCAGTCTGACCTGACCCTCGCCCCCCATGGCCCCGGGGCTCCGCTTCACTCAACCCAGCACCGCCAGAGGTGTGCTGGTCTCCAGCCCCAGCTGTGCCTAGGCCTGGCCATGGGCCCTGCCCACCCGCACCCCGACGCCGGGGGTGATGTCCAGGCCTGGGCCCTCGTCTGCCCCTCCGCTGCCCCCAGGCCTGCCCCCTTCCCTGGCTGGGGGCGGTGGGACGGGCCCTGGCTGCGAGGCCATGTCCTGCTGCAGCCACCCCGTGGGGTCCCCTGCGGCTCCTGGCCCCCAGGCAGCCGCCGGCCTGCACCGCGCCCGGGCACTGTCTTGCATAAAAGATAATGTAGGTCGGGCAGGGATGTAGGCTGTCAAACACTGCACTGTGATTGCAGCTATTGTACAGCAGATCATGCTGTTGCCATTCATTACTTTTTATTAACAAGGACTGGAATATGGGTGGACCTTTCCATTATTTTACCTGGGATCAGTGTCTAGCTAATGGGTTTGTATGTCCATGAGTCAAAACATTTACCCTTTTCCATCTCGGAAACAGTCTGATTTCAGTGGGGATGAGGATCCAACCCCCCATCCAAGTCAGGCTGGGCCGCGTGAGACTGCTGATTTTGAAAACGAATATAATAGTAGAGTCAAACTGAGCCTCTGAACTCACTGGAGCAGAGCACAAAAAGATTGCCATGCTTTATGGTGAGCAGACTGAAGAGTTTCAGTGGTTGCTGGATAATACTAGTTCCTCTAATACTGTGGTTTACATTTTCTTTAATGTTTTTAAAATATTAATATATTTAAATGTTGAAATTTCATTGCGTAATGTAGGGCATGGTCATTCCTTAGAGGCAAGCTGATTTTTTTATCTGTATTAACTCCCCCATTTTTGGTATCTAGTAAACTTTAATGTTATTGAATCAATGTGGTGCCCCATCCAAAAAGGTGGCTATAGGCACATCTTGCTGACATATTATTCCTGAAGACTGCAGGATACCTATTTGAATAAACTGGGAAAAATAATTCAGCAAAGCACTTGTTAGAATGGAGTGACATTCGGTCTTTTGCTTGGTGACATGTAGAAGAAAAAAGAAAAATGGAGATGGCTTATTTTTGGCCTGAAATGGAATATATTAGCTGATCAGTGTGACACAGAGTTAGTGAGTGATATATTATTTTCTACTGTTGCTTTAGAGCAAATAGAATGATTTAGGTGATGTACTGTAACAGAAGAAAAGAGACTATTGGACTCAGACATTCAGGAGGCAAATAGGTTTATTCTATTTTATGCTTCACATTTACTGCTTTCTGGCATGAATAATACTGCAACCATCATAAAGATTTAAACTAAGCACGCTGATAAATACTTTATTCCTCTTGTTTAAGACATCTCTTACATTGTTGCTCTTATATTTTTAAGATGTAGTCTGTCTTAGCTTTTTCACTCAGGTTTGATCGCTGGCTTATCGACTGAGTATTTTAAGAACTGCTTTGATGTAGTAGCTCTCCTGTTACACTTGAGTTTTGCAAAGTCCCTAATTAACGGTCCATTATTTACTTGGCTGAGCAATACGCGAGGGAGAATACGTTAGAGCCGACCCACACGAGTGATGGGGCTGGCGGTGCGCAGTGGCCAGCACTGCTCCGTTTAGTAATGGGGAAAGAGGGAATTTACTGGGGTAAGCTCTTGATCCACGCCAGAGAGTAAATGGAGTCTGTTCCTCCGCTGTCAGCCAAGAGAGGGAGAATCATTTTTTTATGCCATCTTTGACCCTTAGGAGTGTGATAGCAAATGAGTTTTTGAGGTGTTATGCTCAAAGAAGTCACATTATCAATACCCCTTCTATAGCATTTTTGTACGTGTTCTTTTACCAAGTGTTTCAGGATGGTGGCACAATTAGAGGAGGTTCTGAGATAGGAATTGCACTTGTTATCCTTTCTGTCTTCTGATTTTTTTCTAACATCGTTGTGCTTCAGCAACAGCTCCTGCAGGGCAGAGCAGCATCCCTCACCCTACGCAGGCATAGGTATGGGTCCCGTACGGCCGGTATCCGTTCAACGCTGTAACAAGACAGCAGTGTCACCAATTGAGTACAGGGCTGGGAGGGGAAAACGCGGGGCCGCGTCAGCATTTCAAGGTTGCCCAGAGGAAGCACGGGGGTCGGCGGGCAGCTCCGCCGCACGGGGCTCCCCCCACGCGTGGCCGCCAGGCGCCTGAGACGAGACCCCGGGGCGGAGCTGTCCGCTGCCCGGGACCCGCAGGTGCCACTCAGGGCCCCGCTCCCCCCAGAG